TTAAGTACAATTAAATCAGCGAAAAGAAATTAGATATATAACATACACAAACTTGAATATTATTCACGACAAACTTTCAGCTGTTGGAAAAAATGTATCTACAATTGTTAATTCAGGGAAATGTGGCTTGTTATATTATCTAGCATTCTTATGTAAATTGTCAGCGCATGTGCGCAGACAGTTTGCACGAAAGCACACATTCAGCTGAAAACTATTGTGTTAGATAAACATAAGTATGTAAATTTGTGTTGGGAAAGCTCTTTTACATGTTACATACTGCAGCTGAACCACTTCAATTATGAACTATTGAGTTGGGCAAATTCCTGTTGCGAGACGTCACATGAAACAACTTCTTTAACATGGATTAGAACTAACTACGTCTAGAACTAATTTCGCACAAACCCTAGATGACCGTAGTTCTTAATCCAGGATAATAAGAAACGGTCTTCATAGATTACATTACGATTATGATATCCTGTGTTTGTCCACACAAATTTAATATTTATAACAAATAATAAATTTCGAAAGCATAAATTTATTCATTTCTTGCAGAAGAAAGACGCATTTCCGTACCAGATCGTCGGAGGCGCCAATATGAGGCCGGTGCCTGTAACAATGAATTTCTTGCGAGCGCGTAGTCAGTTTCGGGCGATCTTACGTCAAATCTGGCCGACCCATAACACATAAGTCCGCTTCACGGCTGCGCTGTCACAAAACAACAAATGGGATTTCAGATATATATGAAATCCCATGCGTTGTTTTGTTAGAAAGATGCCATGTAACACCACCCTCATTGACCGTACACAGAATGTCTTATCGCAACCTGTCGACATTTTATAACCAGCACGAAATGAAATTTCGGAACAATTTTATTAATTATTCTGTATATTAATACCGCCTAAAAACTCACAAGCTTTTGATATTCCCCTGAATATTAACTGAATGTGCTACGCTTGTTTGCACGTAAACGTACGTTAGGTTAGGTTGAAATTGTTTCTGTAAGCCAAATGGACTGGATTAAACTGACGTGGTGTAGCGGTTAGAACGCTGGCCTTATAATCCTGCGGTCTCGGGTTCAATTCCCGGCGGTGCCCGAATTCATAACTTGTGTTGGGCAAGGCCGTGGTCTAGGCAACACGGAGTTTTCCTCCGGGGGCTTCCCCGGTTTCTCCGTGGCATCCCAACAATTACTCCATTCACACAAAGAAGAAGGCAATGACAAACCACTTCTGGATCATCTGCCAAGAACGTATATGAACAGGTCCCAGTCCGAGAAAAGGATGGAAGGATCCTGTTCATACGGACCTGTCGTCAGACAGAACACTAA